AGCGCTATAGCGCTGCTATAGCGCTGCACAGCAAAAACGCATAAAAACGGATTATGGTGCAGCTTAAATGGCTAGCTTATTATCCATGCGTAATCGAAAAGCCTCTGAAAAATGATAATTCCTGAAGTACCATTATAAGTTACGAATGAATAAACCATTACGTTGTACGCTTCTGAAGCATTGAGTAGGCGACATTTGTACTGACCAACAGCATCTAAATCCACTGGAACAGCATGCAGGATAATAGTTCTTGAGATTCCGTGATAGTATTCGATGTTCACTTCACGTGCCTCAGATTCCGGTGCATTGTCATCGTAATCGTCAACATAAATCCGTAAATTAATAGTTACAGAGCGCGGTGGCGTGCCTCGGTCCCTGACAATTACTGGTACCGCATAAAACGAGCGTTTTTCGCGATCAAGAACATCCACAGTGCTAAGTATTCCAGTTGTTTCGTTGACTGAGAATATCTGCAGTGATGTTCATAAATGGTACTTTAAAAAATTTGCATATATGAAATATTCCAACAACAACCTCCTCCAGCAATGATTTTTGGAGAAGTATGGGGGTATGAAGCAAAGCGAAACTTGATTTGTTATCCAGAATAACATCTTAGAATAGAAAACGATAGGGTAAATGTGCTTGACATAGGACTGTGCGCCAAAAACTCGAAATTTCCAGAAATTTGTCATCCTTGTGCTGAATCAAAATTTGCTAAAGTTTTATCAAAAACAATGATCAAAATCCCTTCCGTGTTTGTCTCTGTGACAGCCAGAGGCAGATGAGTAGTCCATGTCGTAGCAAATGCTAATAGCAACCATCCATTGACAAGTCTCTCAAAAGCTCCCTTTTTCAAGGACTGCATAAAAGCAAAATGATGGCGAGTTAGACCCTTGATATGCGTTAGTACCAATTTACCATCAAATATAGGCAGCCCCAGGGGGCTTGATGGGGAGGGGAAGGATTTTGACAATTTTTTTATTCCCCTACCGATCTTCTCTCTCACCTGATGCTTAGTACGTCGCAAACTCTATTACTCGCCTTCCCTCGCTTTTCACTACATCAGAAGCCTCACTGCTTCTCCCTGCTGGTGGTCACTATATCGGAAGCCCCGCTACCCCCTTCCCTTAGCTGGTCGGCCCTAACTGCAGTGACGATCTGGAGGCTGGAAGAAGTTGGGCCCCTGAGAGAGGGAGGGGGGAATGAAAGGGGTATCAAAGAGTTTTCTACAGTAAAACAACTTTTTCAACTCTCCTTCCCCCCTGCTTCCTCCTGGATCCGCCAATACAATCGAAATCAACGAACAAATCATAGTGGGATTATCTTCTCCACTTTTGTAATCGGACCTCCGACCTCCTATACGACAACAGTATTGCTTTTCCAATGCGCCAGGTGCACCAGCTTCAAGATTTAACCAGAAAGTTGAAGTGCGCATCTTCGCTCCCAAATATTCACCTCTGCTAAGCGGACGTCAGCAATTTTATATTGGAAAACTGTTTGTTTCGGGAAAAGATCGTTGTCCACAGGCTGAAGCTTCATGATAGCCGTATGCGATGGAGAATTTTCAGGAATATATCCCACTGCAATCGATGGATCGATGTACGGTGCATTATCGTTCACATTTTCTATTGTAACCGTAGCAGTACTACGAGATCGCGTGATACCATCTTGCACAAGTGCAAGATCCAAATGGTATTTTGATTTTTGCTCTCGATCCACTGGGCCGCAAAGCCGCAATTTGTTAGTGCTGTCGATACAGAATGGCTGAAATTTTTCTTTATTTGATGCGCTATATTTCAAAACTCAAAAAATAAAAGCGTCGAATACTTGTTTGAAATTCCAGTTTCATAAGTGAAATTTCAAAAAAAATTCAACACTCTTTCTTTTATAGAATTTTCAATTTATGGTTCATAAAATCTTTTCTGTCGTTTTGTAATCTTTCTTACTAATATGCCCATCTCTTTCTAGTTAGTGCGATAAGCAAGGACGGACTATCCGTTAGCTGGATCGATAGCAAGGAAGGATGAAACAGTAGCTGATCAAGGTATCGATTAAAGCATGAAACAGAAAATGAAACTCTAGAATTTGTTTCTAAGATTCATAGGCTGGTTTCAGTTGTGTACGAAACCAAAGCACAGGATTATCTTTCACATTCTCTGATGCTGTAGTGAAAGAAAAAGATC